ATATATATGTATGTATATATGAGTAGTACCATGTTGGACATTGGGCCCCTCTCTCCTCCTGTCAGCTGCAGCCATGTTGGTTGAATCCAGGCTCCTCCAGCGGCGGCGGAGCTCTCAGTCAGTGGACACCAACCACCGGGCACGGCGCTGTTGTGGACGGAATCAGACCGGGAGAGGAGCCCTGTCACCGCGCCGGTTTTGATATTAAGTAGCTATAAATGTAATATTCTGCGGGCCGGACAAGGTGAGCGGTTTGTGAGACGAGGAGCGGCGGGACTTTGAGGGGTGTAGCGGGTGAGTAATGGTCCCTGTTGAGGGGGAGCGGAGTGTTAGCCGAGCTAGCTTAGCATTAAAGCGGGGGTAACAAACAGAGACAATGGGGTCAATGCTACAAGCGTGGGTGTGTTTTTAGGAGCGGGTTGTAGGATTTATGAAGACTGCTGTGGGATATTATTTCTTAAATTAGTCGTCATTTTGGTATCACGAAGTCATTTGTATTCCTAACATACAGACAGTGCTGCAGTGGCCGAATCCACCCCTCTGTGTTTCTGCCAAAGGTGCAAAGGTCCAAACAAGCCAGGAGGACTTGTCTCAAACACAACAGCAACATTTAGGAGAAACATCTGGTTGTTGTTGAGCACAGAGCCGTCAGGGCTGGGACTCAGGGGCGTTGGGTATAAATAAAGGGGTAGTTCTTTCTAAACCTGAGGGTTTCAAGTTTATGATTTGCTTTCGGACCTCGTTAATAACAATAATTCCCATTTATCTCTGTTATAAATGAACTAAAATAGAACAATATTGGGTTAAAGATGTAATTCTGCCATAGCTGGATTAAACAGAAATGCATATGTGGTGCAGGAATGTGAAAGATATTCAGATTGATGTCCAGCATCTTTGTGGTTGAGATTTATTTATTTTTTTCAAGAATTTGGGAAGCTGCTGCTCTGTCATGTTTCTGAAAAAAATTGTTTCCCCTTTTTCTTGTTCTCCTTTTCATTATATTTCTTCCCTGTGTGTAACTATTATCCATCATTTTACTGTATCTCCGTATGTATACTTTTCAGCTGATGAAGGAAGACAGGATATAATGGACATGATTTATTTTAATGTGAGAATAAACAAAGAAACAAACAATTATGTATTAGATCCATTGGCATCATATTTTACTGTTTACAGTTGAATTTCGGGCGTCTACAATGGTTTCTTCCTAAAATAGAAAAATTGCCAAGAAATTTCATTGTCTGTTTTCCCATAGAGGAACACAGGAAAACATTTCTTTGTAAATGTTATTGAAACTAGTTAATGTTTGTCAGATTACACATCCAATAAGGGTAGCCTCCCAGGGCAGTTTTTTTGTTTGTTTTTTTATTATTATTTCTTCAACCAAAAAGTCTGACTCCTTCTTTATGTAATATGGGATCCATGATTAGTTGTAACATTAGACTTTATTTAATAAATACATATTTTAACTGTAAAATAAAGATGGCAAAAATACAGTAGGA